TTACATATTAATGATGTAATATAACTAATTACATATTAATGATGTAACATTGTAACGAGATCTATGAACTGATCAAAATGTAGAATAAACATTATTATATTTTTTTTTTTATTTTTGATTATAAAATTTTTTGTTATTATTTCATTTATATTATTATTTTCATTTTTGTATTATTATATTTATGTTATCTTTTAAAAAATATTAAAAAAAATCTATCAAAAGTCAAAATTTTAACTATTTAGATATTACAATTATATTTTTGATTTTATTCTTTTATAGATATAGATATTTTTATAAATATAGATGATTAAAATAATATATTCTAATTCTAATAATGGAATTTCTAAATATCCAAGTAATGATAAATTGATGAAAATTTAACTTAAAATTACTTAAAATTTCAAATAAATGAATAATTTTATAATCTTTTTATGAGATAAATTAATTATAATTTATATTTATATTATTGATAATAATACATTATAGTTAAATAATATTAATAATGCATAATATATAATAAATACTTATAAATTTTAATATTGAATAATACTTACAGATTTATTTTTAATAAATTTTTAAAACAATGAAGCGAGCACGTATAAAAGCTATAGTTACAGTTCCAACTCGAAGGAAAGCAACACAAGATATATCCGATACTGAAATTATTAATACATTTGAGAACAATGACAAAAATAAAAATGTATCTGATGATTCATTACAACAAAGTTCAGAAAATGTTTTACATGAAACACAAGAACAAGAAAATTTAGAAAATACAAAAAAAATAATACAAATACAAGAAATAGTAGAAGAGCAAGTGCCAAATGAACAATTTCCTACTGAACAATGTAACGAATATAAGAGTGATTCTATGCAAAATTCTAAGGAAGAAATTGTAAATATACAGTCATCAGAAATTTTAAATATAACGCAAATCAGTAAGTATAATGCAATATATATTGTATTATGATTAAAAATTAAAGAGTTTACATTCACAATTTAAAAATATTTATATAAATGAGCTATTTTTATTAATGAATATAATATAATTCTTATTATTTATATTATTATTTTGTATTATTATTGATTTTTTGATTTATAATTGTTTAAGTTCCTACGTAAAGTCATTTTTATACTTGGAATGTACAAATGCATTATGCATTTGTATTAGTGCTATACAAAGCTGCATGCAGACACTAACAGCCTAACTGATTATCAGTCTGTAATTTAAAGAAAAGGCAAGTCATTATTTGCAATGATTTTAAAGGAAATACTGATATTCTTTACTGAATAAATAATAAAAAAAAAAAAACAGATAATGGAATGCAGTAAAAGTAATTATTTATGTTATTTGTTCTTTATATAAATTGAAAAATAAAATTACACTTTATCATAAGTTTTTCAAAAATAAGCAATTATTATAGAGATATATCATAAATTGTAAGAAAATTAAAAAATGTTATCATAAAGAATTGTTAAAATATTTTGTTGTTGTAGCTTCTCCCATAAAATCAACACAAAATCGGTCTGGTTTTATGAAACCAACACCAAAATTTGATAATAACAGCAGAGTAAGAAGAAATAGTATTCAAGGAAGTGGAGCGAGTACAAGTGAATCTGAAGATGATAGCAGAAGATTACCTTGCAGTATTACCAATCATACAAAAAATGATTTAGTACAAATATCATATAATACAAAAGATGCTGTTACTAATAATATCAAAAACAATTTAATAACAACCAAATTGGGACAAAAGAGACGTATTTTAGTCTCAGAATCTACAAGAAAACTAGCAGAGGCTAGAAGAGAATTTCATTTAAAACATGAAAATAAAACTCCAGATAGAAGCAAACTTACAATGTATGATTTAATATATTACAATCCTGTTACTAATCCTATGAAAAAATCTAATGAATCTACAACAAGAAAAATGTTGGAATATCAGTATGTATAAATAAATAAATAAACTTTTATTATAAATAAATTAAATAATATAGATATTTCAATTCAAAATAATTGTAATAACAACATTTAAATATAATAAAATAATTGTAAAAACAATATATAAATATAAATAGGAGACAAATAATTATTTTTACAGATCTGAAGAATTTCAGGAAGAAGAAAATGAAGATGATCCATCATCTGCAATGCCAGTGCCTCAAGTAAAAGTTGGACCAAATGGTCAACTAATAATAGATGAACAAAGTCTTGTTATAGAACAAACTAATGCAAAAAAAGGTAGGAAAGTATTAGCAAAAGAAGCTATTATTGATGATGATAATAGTGGAAGTGGATTTTATAAAAAACGACAGAAAAGCAAAGAATGGTCCGAACGGGAAACTTTAAAATTCTATAAAGCATTAAATACAATTGGTACAGATTTTTTGTTGATGCAAAGTCTTTTTCCTCATAGAACAAGGCAAGAAATGAAGTTAAAATTTAAGAAAGAAGAAAAAGTTAATAGACATTTGGTTGAGAAAGCACTGGCATATCATCAAGAATTTGATACTGAAATGTTAGAAAAATCATTAGGTAAATTTATATATTTTTTAAAAATCAAATACAAGTTCATATGTCATATATTTTGTAAAAAATATTGCATAAGATGGTTAAATAATAAAAATATTTACAATAAAGCTATTTATTATTTTTGCATTTGTAAATATAATTTAATATAATTTTTATTAATATAATTTGTAAATATAATAGCATTAAAATTATTCAAAATTTTTAAATAAATTATACATGTATTATATTTATTTTGTATTTTTTCACATTAAAGAAATACTTTATTTCAATTTATTTTATTAATTATATTTATATAATATAAATATAATAAAAATATTAATTTTAATATAAAGTAAGAAATAATTTAATCAATTGAATATATATATTTATATTCAACAAATATTCAACTTACATAATGGAATTTTATATAAAATGTATTTAAAATTTATGTTTATACTAATTTATACTAATAATTTTACGAATAAATTTATGTTTATATTAATAATAAAATGGAAACTCAATATCTAAAAAAATTGT